TCCGCTTTTAACCTAAATCCATATAATGCTGAGGATCTGAACATCCATGTCTGGAAATATGTTGATGATCTGACACTTGGAGAAAATAATAAAATTGGCTCTCCAATTTCCATCCAATCCTGCCTGGACCTTTTACAGCAATGGTCAATGACAAATAAATTGTATTTTAATCCCTCCAAGTGTCAGATCATGCATGTGTATTTTGGTCATAGAAGTTTACCAGACATAGATTTTCACATCTCACACACCATACTCCCAATTGTTAACAGAGTAAAACTCCTCGGGGTGGTGATTCAGGACGATCTTAAATGGGATGGTCATATCGAACAAATTGAAAGAAATACTAACAAAAAATGTTCATGCTTAAACGGTTGAGAGCGTAGGTTTTACTTCCGATGAACTTTTAATCATCTACGTTGGTTATATTCACCCAACCCTCGAATATGTCACACCGTTTGGAACAGTGGACTATCAGGAGCACAGATCCGTCGCCTTGAGAGGGTCCAAAAGCGCGCATGTCGCATTATTCTGGCATGTGAGTAATTTCGTATGAAAGTGCCCTAGAAACGCTTGGAATAGAGTCGCTCCCTGACCGCAGGTAATCTCTATGCAGAAAGTTTGCTCAGAAAACAGTTATTAATCACAGGTTTTGTCATTGGTTCCAAACCTCCAACAATACCTTATCAATGCATCTCCGTAATCCCAGAAAGTTCAAAACCTTAATTAATAGAACAGAAAGGTTTAGAAATAGCCCTACACCTTTTCTCACCAAACTTCTTAATCAAATAAATTAATCTATTGCTGGGTGTCCTTTCTGCGAGAGTGTTGATTTGCAAGTCCCGCCCGGGTGGTGTTTTGGGTGCGACTGTGCCACACGTTAACATGTGACATGTTTTGTTTTCTTGCTGGATGACATAGTTAACCCTACCGACTGAAGCCCGTAACTGCAAACCAAATCAACACGATTCCTAGTTTTTTAGTATTTTGGAAGAACCAAACCAGGTTAAATTTCCGGTGTAATTCGCAGTGTTAACTTACGTTAGGATAATAAGCATCCGCTACAGACACTTCCCAAATATCTTACCAATGATGAAAATGTTGAATGCACAGTACCCAGTGTTGTCATAATCGTCAGTAGCATTACAAGTGACAGTAGTGTTATATTCAGAGAATGTTGCTCCACTCATGTAATCACATACTGGTGTGAAAATATCCCCTGAGTTGTCTGTGACATTCGGTGCGGCCCATGTTGCACTTGCCATACAGTCAGAATCACCGGTTACATTTTGGTTTGGTGGACATTCAAGTATCGGTGCTTCATTGTCTAATAGAGAAAAATATATATATATATATATATATATACATGATCTAAAATAGGCTACAAAATCAAATCTTTTCACGTATTAATAAGAAATAAAATTAAACGATACAATACTCCTTTATTGTCATTTCAACAACATGGTAAAAATGAAATTTGTGTTGGTTGATCCTATAGGCAATACACATAAAACATCCAATTTAGAAATATATAAAGTATGAATAAATAGATAATAGAAATAAAATGAAGTACCTTCAACATCAATAATAAAAACACATTCATTCTGATTTCCATAGCAATCTACTGCTGTAAAAAAAACTTCAGTAACTCCAATGCTAAATTCGGTGCTATTTGTGGCATTGTAAGACTCAATAATTTCATCTTCACAACAGTTATCAGTAGCGATGGCAGAGGTCCATGACACTAGGGCGGTATTAACACCTTGATGTCCGCATAGTGCGAAATACAGCTAAGTCGCGTCTCAAACGATCGACATTGGGTCGTTTTTGTGTATTTTGTTAAATGTTGATACGTAACCGACAATAGATCCGCGTTGCTAATCTGTTTATTCGAGGGGGCGTTCCGGGAACATTGCGTCTAATAGCATAATACGACTTGGAAATAAAATTTCTAAATATTCACATATAAAATACCTACCAAACATGTAAACATTGAAGGAGCAATTGCCAATGTTTCCTGCCATATCTGTTGCATTACAGGTTACTGTGTAGTTTTCCAATGGAAAAATACCTTCAGTCGGGTTACAGAACACAGTTAAATCACTATCATAATTATCTCTTGCTGTTACTTCAGTCCAAGTTACATTGGAAGTGCAATTGTCATCAGCATCAAATTTGACATTTTGTGAACAGTTTAAAACAGGAGCTTCGCAATCTGAACATCAATAAAATAATTTTTTTTTTTAATGAACGATTTCTAAGTGGTATAACTGAATAATCTGAACAAACGAAAACAAATATTGTCATTACCAAACACCATTATAGTAAAATTGCATAATGCTGAGTTGTCACTACAGTCAGTGGCTATGTATGTTACTACATTTTCACCAATTTCAAATTCATCTCCTGATGTGTAATCTGACGTTATGTTTACATTGTCACAACAGTTGTCAGTTGCGTTGATGAGTTCCCAAGTGACAGATGCTGCCATAGAACCAGTTTCAGCACAAACTTCTATGTCAGCTGGGCAATTTATGACTGGATCTTCATCATCTGGTTAAATAAAAAATTATTGATTGATTGAAATAGACTATAAAATTATTTTCGTAATACATACTTATAATTTTCTAATATTAACATAATTTTATCTAAATAAATGTAAATATTCCAATAATACTGTAAACTTTACAATAATTCATCTTTCATTTTTTTATTTAATATTAGAATACCCTACATTTGCTATTATTAATAATAATATTAATAACAATAATAATAATAATTAATAATAATAATAATAATAATAATAAAAATCTCCCTCCAATGAAAAACTACTTTTGGGACCGGTGTTTCTCTGGTCTTTAGCAGCTTTGGTCGCTATTTAGATTAATAAAGAGATAAGACATTTGTTAATTTGAAACCTCAGATAAGTGGTCATTAATTGGAGGGGTCTTTAATAAGAAGGAGACATGTAATTCATAAACTCTTTCTCAATGTATTTTATTTTGTTAATAAGCAATTAGTAGAGCTCCGTATAGTACACTATAGGAAAATTATTATACGAAGGTTAGATTTAATGCTTCAAACATTTCCTGAGGGCCTGCAAGGTCCAAAGGAAATTTTTGAATGCATTAAATCTAACTTAAGTATAATAATTTTCCGCTAGTGTATGATGCATGCTCCACTAATTTCTTTATAAGTCAATCGCCGTCTTTCAATGTTAGTTCTTATAACCAACTGTGTTGTACCTGTCATCGGTTGCTATAGTGATATGATCAGTATACTGTACTGTGTGCATATTTATATTTTGTGTGTATGCTGATTTGTGCTCCTAAGTAGGCAGCGCCTACACGTTTAACTACACATCAGCATTACTGTACAGATACGATGAATAACTAGGCCTAGGCTATTTTGTAATTTGTATTGTGTTAGAAGAACTTGTTTGTAATCTTTCACATTCGTCAAAGAAATAAACATTTTTCAAAGCATTCGAGAGAGAATACAGTCAAGTCACTGTCACTAACTTTTTGGTTGGTGCAGACAGGTAAAAATCTTGGGATGATTTCATAACTACGCTAGGCTATACGGCCTAGGCTAGTAGTAGGAGGAGGCCCCGGCAGATCTACATCTAATTTCGTTCATTGGGTCTCGTTCAGTTTGTTTGGATTACTAGGGTTCATTGATTCAAGGACTTGCTGAATTGTTCATACTTAATATTGAATTTAAAGTAACTTTCTTCGGGTTCTAATTAACCTTGTTTCACGAAAGTAATTTTCAATTACAATTCTATTTTTATCGCGGTGCACAATGTCTTCGAGGTGATGAAGAAATGAGGATTTTTTTTTTTTGCACACGAACCTAAAAAAATCAAGCCAAACGTCCACTAATAGAAAAATTAGTGGACGGTGGGGAATAGGCAAATAACATTGGGCGTTGCAGTGATGACGTCAAGATTGACTTATAATAATAATTATA